GGGGCTCCACCATTTCCTATTATCACTTGGGCCCTGGAAATTACATAGCCAGGCCTGGTGGAGAGGAGAGGTGCAGGATGCAGGGAAGGGGACTGGAAGAGAAACTCCATTCACTGAGAAGCTTGTTTCCAGCTGCTGCTGCTGCTGCCGCTGCCCTCCCCAGTCCAATTCAAGACTCCTCTTCTCACACAGCCATTTCTGAGCAGCCCATCTGCTCCCGTCATTCACTTGGTCATCAGCCAGCCCGCAGACAGCAGACCCCTCCTGCAGTTATTTGGTTTGTTGGTGGTGCTTGTGGGAATATCCGTTGATTGAAACGTGTGCACCCATTTCCCTGCTAGCACCCCTTAAGGTGCTTCTTCCCTTCTCCCCACCCCCCTGTGCAGTGGATAAAAACCTCACAGCTTTAGAATGACACACACTTGGATTCTGATTTCACTTCTTTTTTTAAAAAAAATTTTCTGCTAGTTTATTTATAACATTCAAATACATTGTTTTTAAAAACAAATTCTTTCAATTTCCCTCACCCCCACCCATAAAATTGTATAACCTGATGATTAATCCCCCCTCCCCCTGTACATCCTCATTCCTCTGCTTCTAGCCTCTCCCACCTCTCTTGGATCCTTATACTCATTCTACAATAAAGGCTTTATGCAATATTTATTCTTGTGGGACTGAGTTAGTTCACTCAGCATGTTCTTCAGTCCCTCACAAGTTAGGTAATAATTTGTCAACTCATTGCTCCTCCTGTGTGCTGCACAGTATTCCATTGTGTGAATGTACCATCATTTCTCAATCCACTTGTTTCTGGTTGGACATCTGAGCTGTTTCCATATTCTTGTGAAGGTGAATGATGCTGCTATGAACATTGGTGTATAAATCTCAGTTTGTGCCTCAGTTCTCGTTTTCTCAGGGTATATTCCAAGTAGTGGAATAGCTGGGTCATACGGAATTTCTATGTTCAGCTTTTGTTCCCCTTCATTTTTATGCTATATTTGTGCAATTTAAGAAAGATTACAGGAAATAAGGAAATACTTTATTGACAACCAGGGACATAGCCATTGGAGGGGAGCACACAGGACAGCAACTAAAACCCATCAGTTGCAAGAGCCTTTTGGGCCAGGCACATTGCATCCTGGGGTCCTCTTAGTCTCCCACCAGTAGACACACAAGACTGAGCATCCAGGGGAGGGGACAGTGGCTCTGGGCTCCCAGAGGAGAGGTTATATGACGCCTCATTATAATTGACAGAGTAAAGTAAAATGGAGGGAGGAGCCATCACTGCCTACGGCCACCTCCTCCTCTCGGAGCCAGTACAAGGTGGAGGACTGAACCACCTAGAATCTTGTAATCAGCTGCTGTCTTCTCATCATTCATCTGTTTGCCACTGTAGATGAGTCGTTGTTGCTGCGGGGGGATTCCCTCTTTTTCCTCCACACGCTCCTTGATTCGCTCCACCTTGTCTGTGGGTTCAATGTCAATTTCAATCTCCTTTCCAGTCAGGGTCTTCACTTTAATTAGCATCTTCTTCCCAGTTTAGGCCTGCGCATCGATAAACTCCTGCCTGTATCGCTTATGTTCAGCTTTTTCAGGAAGGGTCAAATCTGATTTCATGTCTGACAAGTTGTCTGACACAGGGAAGACGACAATCAAAGCATAGTGAGGATGGAGGGAGGCACACACACAAACACGCAAAGCCCCACACATTGCCCTCAAGTTGATTCTTAGTCATAGGAACCTTGTAGGACAGAGCAGAAGGGCCGTATAGAGTTCCTAAGGCAGGTAAGACTTTAGGGAAGCTGAGTGCCTCTATCCCTCCAGACTGGGAGCAGCTTAGAACCGAGGACCTTTTGGTTAGCAGGAGAATAATACTACTCCACCAGCACTCTCGGTTCTGCACATAGTAAATGCTATGAATCCCAAGGCGCTTAACTCAGAGCCTTCTGCTTCCTCACCTTTCAGAAGAAGAAACCAGGCTTCCTCAAGGTGGAAGGCTTAACTGCATTTAGATACATATCAACTAAAAATAGCCAGAGTTGACAGCCCCCGACCTCCGGGCAGCCACCCCCACCCTCTGTCAGGCTGAGCTCGGCAGCGCGCAGCAGGAGTGGGCCGGCAGAGCCCTCATCTCTCGGGCAATCGTGCCTTGCGAGTTTCTAGCTGCAGTTGAACCCTTTGAGGTTTGAGTTACATTTTCACTTGGCAGAGTCTAGTTCTCTGATTCAAAGAGAAAAGCTGTCAGAGAGAGAGAGGGATAGGAAGAGAAGAGAAGGGGGGGTGGAGAGGGTGTTAAAAAAAAAGGCTCCCACAGCTTCTCGGACTTGGAAAGGCTCTGCAGAGACCAGGCGGGATGCATGCAAATCAGAAACACATGCAGGAACTGGCCTCGGAGCACGCGCTCCGCTCCGGAGGCGCCGAGTCCTGCGTGCAGCCGCGGGACGCTGGGCTTGCTGCGGGCCGGCCTGCACCTGTGTCCTCTATCCCTGCCTTGGCTGAAGGAAGAGGAGATAGGGGCAGTGGCTGATTCTAGAACTCTGCTTCGGGACTCTGAAAGGTCGTGAGACCCAAGGCCGGAGTGTGGGGATCCAGCAGCGAGGGAGAACATCTGGCAGTGTAGGTCCTTGGGCGGCTAACCCAAGTTTGGCTGTTCGAAGGCACCCAGTGGTGCCTCTGAAGAATGCCTTTAAAGATCTGCTTCTCTAAAGATTATCGCCAAAACCCCCCTATGGGGCGCAGTTCTATGTAACATATGGGGTCGCTGCGGGTCAGAATCGATTGAAAAGCTATGGGTTTGGCTTGATTCCTCCCCTGCCCCCCCCCCCCTTTCTGGCAGTATGGGCAGTGGAAAGAACATAGGCTTTAAAATCTGACAGGCTTAGATCAGCATTCTTGCTAGATTCCTCTTGGATGTGTGGCTTTGGGGAAGTTACTTAAGCTCTCTGTGCTTGAATTTTCTCATGTGAAATAGGAAGACCATTTTAACAGGTTTTCGTGAGGATGAAATTAAACTTTGCACTTTATTTCTCTAAGGACGGATTCTTTTACTCTCATATAGTTTAATTCTTTCCAGAATATAGGACATACCCTAAAAGAGATACATATTGAAGAAGTCAGGCTCAAACAAAACACAGTTTGATAAGAAATAGGAAACCAGTACAGTGTAAATACACTACCATAACCAGTGGGAGTTGGGCTCAGTTATGAAGAATTGGACTGGGACGCAAAGACAATTACTAGTCCTTTGAAAAGATTAAGTAAACTTACTCACTTTAAGTGATTTTGTCTCTGAGTTTCTGATGGGCCCGAGGAAAGAGGAAAACATTTAGAGTGTAATATATTTCCACCAAACAAGACATGGATTACATGGTATTCTTCACACCATGCAGGCCCCTCATGGATTAGTCTGCACAGGCACACAGTTCGAATCCACCAGCTGCTCTGAAGGAGAAGGATGAGAAATCTCCCGCTGTGCCTGAAAACTCACTGGAAGGTCAGCTATGGGTCAGTTCTGACTCCACGGCACACAACACCACAACAAGAAGCATACTCTGAGTGTTACAGGAGTGTGGGCATGATTTATGTGGGCACATTATATTCAAAAAGTATGTTATATACTATAGACTGCCAGGTTTTTCTCCCGTAAAGCAGCAGCTGGGTGGGATTATACTGCTGACCCTTTGGTCAACAGTTGAGACTTTAACCAGTGTGCTACCACAGTTCATGTACACACACACACACACACACAGAGAGAGAGAGAGAGAGAGAGAGAGAGAGAGACATACTCTTATTACAAGTTATAGGTGATGTATACATGACATCTGCCTAAAGCCCTACTGTATAATAGGTGTTTTCTCTGACTGGTTGCACGTAAGCTTTGGAGGTGATTATCTTATTGCAGAAGAAGCTCTGGTGGTCTAAGGTTGCTTTTATTCCACTTCCTATTGCTCATGCCTGATTTAATCTCCTGCAAATCCAACATGCTTTTCTCTTGCTGTTCTGGGGGCTTTGTGGGGCACTTCTGAGTGGTTGTGAGATGAAGTGGGTTCAGAATCCTCCCCTTGGATCTCAGCACCCTCGACTCAGTGACACTCCATCACTCTGGATTCTGTCCCCGGGAGAAAACATGTGGGCATTTTCTAATAACTCCAGCCTCATTCCCTCCTGCCTTCCACTCTTTGTTTTTCCTTCCTGGGCGAATGAAAGGCAGAGTGAATGAAGGTTCCCATTCTGATGGGAAAACTCACTCTGGCCCTTTAATGAGCTAGAATAATTGATTTGTCGATGAAAACCGAGCCTGTGGAATTGATGCTTAGTGTCAAAACAGTCCGGATCACTTTGGTACCAATTCATTGTCACTGGAGGGAGGCCGTTAGCAGCAGGAGCCCAGAGAGAAAAGGGAAGGCTCCAGTGGAAACATGAAAAGATTTGATTGTGCTAACACTCCCTGGTGTGGCATTACTCTGTTGGGATCTGATTTCAGTGCTCCAGATCGAAAGTCCTGGCTAATATTTTCTTTCTCCCCTTTCTCAGGCGGGTAGAAATAACTTGGCAATTGCCCTGTTGCAGCTACTGTTTGAATGTGGATATTAATTTAATCTGGAGTTCTGTTACTCTTTAAATATTTAGGGGTTTGGCAGAGGCCTTCGTGTTCTTAGGAAGAGATAGACAGTGAAAAATGGAATCCGAATGTTTCTACTCATTTCAGAAAGGAAAAGCATTCCCAGCCCCTGCCCCTCCGCACCCGACCCATCACCTGCATTCATTCTCTTGTCTTCTGATTGTGGTTTCTGATGGAAATAAAAAAGTTACTCAGGCAAATATGGACAGAGGCCATGGGGATGGAAGGCAAAGACATTCTACTTTAGAATCAGATCCATAAGGGAATGTTCAAATCCTGGCTTTTTCCCCAGGGGAACTTACCCATATGTTTAAAAGCCCCTCACTTGGGAACATGGGCTATGAACACCTACCCCACAGATCTGGTATAAAAGGGAAATTAGATAAAGTGTACCCACACAGCTGTCACCACAACACTATTATTGTTTTATTAAAATGATATTGTCTTAAAACAAGCCACTCCCAGAGTTCTCCTGTAGACTCTCAAGAGGGTTTAGATCTTGTAGGATGAACCTGGTTACTTCTAGAGGCACCTTGTGCCCTTTGATCTTAGAGAGTTTGTCACAAAGTGGAGGGAAGTAGGAAGTTAGGCCTTGTCATGTTGGCATCTAGAAAATGGGCAGAGAAAAGAGGAGTGATTGAGTCATTCATTGGGCCAAGTGCCACCATCTGATTCTCTCATTTCTTCCATCTGACAGCACCAGCAGGTAAGGAGTTTGTTTCATTTGAAAGATGAAAAAACAAATTCAGATGCATGGAGTCACTTGTCCCAGATGATAGGGTGAGTCAGAGTCCGCTTCTGGTCTCTTTGCCTCCATGTTCCAGATCCTTTCAACTTTCCTAACACCTCGCAGTTGTAATCCTCTCAAATGAGCTAATAGGCAACAGCATGATAAATGGAGAGAAGGTGGATGTCGTCAGGAATTTCGTTTTACTTGGATCCACAATCAATACCATGGAAACAGCAGCCAAGAAATCAGACAATGGATTCTATTGGGCAGATTGCCAGGGACCTCTTTAAAGAGGTAAGGAGCAAGGACATCATTTCAGAGACTAAGAGATGCCTGAGCCAAGCTATCGGGTCAGCAAAGGAGAGGAAGACCCTCAAGGAGACAGCTGACACAGTGACTGACGACAACAACAAGCTCAAACACGATAGAGACGGGAACGACGGAACAGGACTGAGCAAGATTCTGTTCCATTGCTCATAGGGTCTCCGAGGTGGAGTCAACTTGACGGCCATATATCAGCAGCCAGATGCTGCTCACGGTGTCTGAGGTTGAGAGAAAGACAGGAATCCATTCCGTCTCTACTTGGTGGCCAGCACTTCTAATTCTCATTGTTTTATTGTTGGCTCCTTTCCTGGCTGTTTATAAGGCTTCTCCTCTGCATCAGGATTACCTGGACAGTGTAAATGATTAGCCACCTCTGCTGCTAACCAGCAGATTGGAGGTTCAAGTCCACCCGGAGGTGACTCAGAAAGATCTAGCAATTGATTTGGGAAAGATCACCTACCAAGAACGCGGTGTTCTGCTCTGACACACGTGGGGTCGTGGTGAGTTGGAATCAGTTCCAGGACGACTAGTACTGATAGTCTGGGCCAGCTTCTGTGGGAAGTGCACAGCTGCAAGGCTGAGGCCTCATCTTGGAGGAGCTGACAGCTTATTTAGAGAGGAAAACATGGCACAGGAAATAGTTTTTTTTTAAAAAAAAAGAGGGCAAGTCTGGGGAGAAGTGCTGAGAGCTCTTCCGCTGTCCCTTAGCTGTAATCGCACTGACGGACACATGCATGAGACCATGCACACAGCCGTTGCATGGTGTCAAGTCAGTCTTTGGCTCACAGCCACCCTGCAAGGCACAGCTGAACTACCTGATGGGATTTTAAGGCTGTCAATTTGACTGAAAGGAGCTCTGGTGGTGTAGCAGGCTAAGTGTTAGGCA